ATTTCAAACTTTAATTATGGCTTAACTTCCAATTACAACTGGACCGTAGAAAAAGAAACAATCGAACGTGATCAAACTTCTCTACATAAAGAAATTCTTCAATTTCTATCTCTAATGAAGGAAATATATAGTCTAATTTCGATATGATATACCTCGATCTCAATATTCAGAAGATACCTGCGATCATGGAGAGTTGATTTCTCTGATACAAAGATTTCATATGAAAGTTCATTTTGCTCGAAGCTGGCTTGCGCAACCATCTCTTCCATCTCTTTGTCCGACACAGTCATTGGAGCGGCGGCGACGGAACGGTGAGATCCATAGAGAATCAGGAGAAGAAGACGCGTGGAAAGTGATCTATCGGGGCACTGTCATCACAAAATATTATACTAGACAAAACATGATTTTTTCCATACCAGCAAGAGTTTTTTTTTCTTTAAAAAAGTTTATGTCTATTCTTAATATGGTTTCATTTCAATTTGGTTTTTCTCTTTGTATCCTAAAAAATAAAGTAAAGATGCAAATGAGATTTTTTTCTTTCAAATACATTGTTAATGGTAATTAGTCTACAATAATAAAATTCGAAAATGCATGTAAACTATAAAGTAAGTTGATGAAAGACATACTAAATTATGTCTTTAAGGGAAAAATAGAGCTACATTACTAATTGAATGTGGTAATTAGTGTTTACAAATGTGATAGAATGGTTGAATTCTTGTTTCTTTTCTTATGTTCTCATCCAGAAACTTCTTTTGTTAATTGTCACACAACAAAGAAACAATTTGTAATTAACCAACAAAAAAATATTGTAATGTCGTTGCTTATCATTAAAGTCATAGATATAACTCAAGGAAAGTATTTAAACATGATAAAATTTTATTAGATCATAATATTTATTTCCACAACCCTACATCTAAATCCATCTAAAATACCTTTATAGATCAATAACAAGTACGACATTATTTGACGACAAGACTAATCTAACTTATGTAAGAAAATTATTGCAATCACTAGCTAGAGATAAAGATCTAATCTAGCACTCAAGTTCCACAAACAATCTTTTAGGCGAATCTCCACATTCCAAAGTAGATCCAAACTTGTGGGAAGTCACATTCATAGTGCAATTTACTTTTCCAACACACTCTTTAGCCACGACCTTCGTAGCATCCATGGCTCCTTCGCATGTGCCAACTGCAAACGATCCACAATGGCCCGATGGATTTCCAAAGCTTGCGAATTTGACGGCTGAGATCGGTCGGTTATTGCACGTCAACTCTAGTTTGTTGTGTTCATAAGTCCTAGCACACACCGTTCCAGTCACAACTGTCTTAAAGTTTACCATTGACGGGTTACCACCCATTTCTTCGAATAGAGTGATAGTATTGTATCCGCTCTCATTTAAAAATCCTCGTGGAACATGGTACCTACAAAAATTAGTCCATTATAAAATATGCTAATTTGTGGAAAACATATTAGAACAAAACTATTGATTATAAGTTACAATTTATTAACTTTAGGTTTTAAAAAGGAACCGTAATTACCATCTTTGAGTTGGTTTGCCGCACATAAAAGCGCATTTGCCGCTACCATACTCTCCACGATAGTCGCATTCATCACTACAACCGTCATCACTAGAGTTGAAGCTCGGCCAGTAACGCCCGATGCTCTGACCATTGATCCAAGCTTCACCTTTTCCAAGACCATTAAAGTCCACAATCACTGGATCTTTACCAAGAGGCGCCTTGAAATTTGCCTATAAGCATTTATTGTAAAAAACTGTTAATTTGCGGAATCAAATAATTTTTATGTGAAGTTTTAATTGATACTAACCTTGTACCATGTCAACATCGGATTAGCAGGAAGCTTTTCGGGTGACCATTTGAGGTGATGATGACCAACAGAATTTGTGGTGAAAAGTTTTTGGTCAAATCCATTCAAACCAATTTTATAGTTCCATTGATGCTCTGATAGATCTTTCTCAATCGTTTCCTCTCCTTTGTATCCGACTAGTTTAACAGGACCATTGATTCCTGTTGGACCGCTCCCAAAGAAAGGTCCATAATTCTAAAACACATGCCAACAATATCAGTTACCACAATAATTTTTGGAAATAAATATCATATCTAGATAAAACTCTATGGTTTCACTTCTTATTACCTGCAATCCAACGGAAACACTAAGAAGTGAAATGTGATTAGTCCCATGAAGGAGGTTGACCTTCTTCTCAAATATGTAATTAAATTTTTCGTCCTGCACGATTTTGTGACCTACGTATCTTCCATTGACGTAAGCGTGAAGAACATGGGCATTGCTGTGAATTTGTAAAGACATGTTTCTGCTCCAAATTGGATCTTTCTTGTCGAGATGAACCCTAAATAAAATAAAAATATGTCAAAACCATACATAAATTAGTTAGAGCATCTTCAATGTATCACTCTATTTTTCACTCTAAAATAGAGTAACTCCAAAATGGAGTTGGATTCCAATGTATTACTCGATATCTTACTTCAAAAATAATATTTTAAATATATTTCTCTTTTGCTATTTATTATTAATTACTTATAGTACACTTTATTTATAAAACTTACAAATTGACCCTATTATTTTTTTTGTTTTATAAACTAGAGTTGCAAAATTATGTTTTATTATATCAATTTACACATATATNCATATNAANTTTAAAANATGCNCTTTTAAGAATTAATTTCATTATTACTTAAACATACATACACATTTTTAACAAAAGAAAAACTTACTC